CTTGTTGAATTTTAACAAGTTGATCGTAATTTCAGTTAGCAAGGATTTCTTTATTTTCTTCCTCAACTTCTTTTATTCAATTAAAGTAAATCGCTTTCTCAGTAATTTTTTCATAACTATCAAGGTAATCAAATTCTTGGTCAACAAGAATTTTTTTGAGAAAGTAATTAAGGTGCTGTTGATATTTTTCCTCAAAATTAGGTAAGTCACCAATGATCAAAAACTCTTCGGAAATAAACCTCTGAATACTCAACAAAAATTCTTTATCATTAAATTTTTGCCAAAAGTCAGCAAATTCTTTTATTTCTAAGAAAAAAAAAAGGTTTTGATATTTTTGTTCTGTTTGTAATTTCTTTAAATCTTCAATTTTCGTTCTCAATAAAGTTACTCAGTGGTAAACTTTGCTATGTTTTTGTCATAAATTTATTCGCAAAATTTGCGATAATAAATTAACTTTTGTTTTTTCTCCATTTAACTCTTTCAAAATATCACCAATTGCTTCTTGAAGATCATTTCTATTTTCTAAATCAAATTTAATTTCTTGATAATAGTCTTTTAAAAATAGATTTTTTAATCTTAAACAAATAGGTTTTCAATTTGCAAATATTTTGGTAAACTTGCTAATATAACTTTCTAATTGAATTTTTAGTTCATTTAACTGTTCTTGATTTCTTACTCATTTACTCAATTGAATTATTTCTGAAGTTAAATTTTTCCTCTCGAACTTTATGTAAACTTCTCGCAAGGGAATTTGATAATTATTATAAAATTCTTTTTCAATTTTATAATAGTCTTCGATTTTTTTTAGATTAGATTTTTGCTTTTCTTCGAGTTTGGAAATTTGTTCGGTAACATTTGAAATGCTTCGCTTTTCTTCTTCCTTTTGGTTAATTTCAACAACGCTCAATATTTGTTGATAAACTTGGGAAGTTTGATTTAGTTCATTTATTTTGATCATTGAATGTTTAAGGCCAAGTGACGCTAATTTATCATAAATAACTCTTAAAGCGACTTCCTTTTCACAAACAACCAACACTTTTTTTTGATAAAATAAAGAATTGGCAAGTAAATTGCATATTAATAGACTTTTCCCTGTACCGGGAGGACCATCTATACACAAAGCACTCTCGGAAAAATTTTGGAAAATTGTTCGCAAAATGCGAGTTTGTGAGGGATCACTAGGAAAAGGATTATAAAGAATTTTGATTTGCTTATCAACTTCTTTTTTTTCTTGATATTTAAGTACACTTTCCGTTTCGCCTCTCAATAAATTCAAAGCTGATTTAGATCAGTTAACCATATTATTTTCAGAGCACTCTTGAATAATTTGCTCGAAATCATGTACTAAACTTAGGTTAGTTTCGCTATCAATAGTCAAACAAAAGTTTAAAATAATCTCTAAATAATTTTTTTGGTAATTTTTCGGTTTTTTACTTAAAGTCAATTTAACAAATGGCTCAGCAGAAACGTTTTTATTTATATTGTTTCCATTAATCTTTGAATTTACTTCAGAAAAAGGATCAAAAATTAACCCCTTATTCACTTCTGTTAATGATAATTTTTCTTCTAACAACGAAGAAATTATCGGAGAAAATCCGATTTTGACATTACTAGCTAAAAGTAATTCTTGAAAAAGGTTATTAAGAAAAATTAAATAATCTTCTCATCCATCAATTTCTTTATTGCCTTTTTCTAATTTTTTTAGAAAATTAGTAAATTTATTTTTCGGTATATTTAACTCTTTTTGAAAAAAATAGAGAAAATTATAGTTAATTTTTTTTAGTGAGTTAAAAACTAGATTTATATTTGAGTTTTCGACCTTTTTCAATTCACACGGAATTAAAAATAAAGGAGCATTAACCAAACGTAAAATGTTTTTATTATTATAAAAATACCCGCGAAAGAAAAAAATGCCTGCGCAAAGAGACTTATAACCTTTTTCTTGATCAATTGCTAAATTTTTCTTTAGGAGAAGAATTATTTTTTCTTGAAATTTTCGACTATCTTCAGCACTCAGGGGTTTCAAAAAACTTTCTAGGTCTAGAGATAAATTTATCTCATCTTCTCCTTTTTTAACTACTAAATCTAAAAGCGAAGATAAAAAATTATTAACTAATTCTGGTTTATTCGAAGTTAATAATTCACTCAAATCCCAAGTTAGCCATTTACTTATAGTAAATCTTATTTTTCTTGAACGAGAACTTAAATCCAGTAATTTGTCCTTTAATTTATTGAGATGAATTATTTCAGACTTATCTTCTGGTTTAGGAATATTCATTTTATCTATATACGTGGAAAAATAGAGAAATTAAATTTGTTAACTATTTTATTAAACTATAATTACTTAAAATTTTGAATACTTATATTATAGATTCATTGATACTGACATTAATTTTGAAAAATGCTATATTTATTCCTGAAAACAATAAAATATTTTTTTTTAATCTCCTATTATCCTCAAGCCTAGCACAAAAAAAATATAAAAGCAAAAGTTAAATCCAACAAAAAAAACTATTCTGCTTGTTTTGCTTGTCGTTTTGACTTCACTGGTTTAACAGAAAGAACAGAATTTTTTCGTTTCTTAGCAAACAATATTTCTCAAACTTCGTCATATTCCTCTACCAAAATAATTTTGAGCTCCTGCTGAATTTCAGCTGGAATTTCTTCAATATCTTTCTCATTGAACTTGGGAATAATAATAGTTTTTAATTGACTGCGATGAGCGGCAATGGCTTTTTCTTTTAGACCGCCAATTTCTCCCACGTGGCCATGTAAAGTAATTTCTCCTGTCATTCCAATTTCTTGTGAGATAGTTTGATCAGTTAAAGCAGAGATAATTGCTGAGGTTAGAGCAATTCCGGCACTTGGTCCTTCTTTCGGAGTGGCTCCTTCAGGAGCATGAATATGAATACCATTTTGAGAAAACATTTCTAGGTCAATACCAAATTTTTTATGGTTAGATTTAATATAATTAAGAGCAATATGAGCCGACTCTTTCATAATATCGCCCAGATTTCCAGTAAGTTCTAATTCTCCTTCTTTACGAGGATAATGAGCAACTTCTATCAATAAAATATCTCCGCCATAGCCAGTATAGGCTAAACCAGTAGCAACTCCAATTTGTGGACGCCTTTGTTTTTGAGTAAAATCATATTTCTTTTTTTTTAAGTAATTCTTTAATTCCTCGGGGGTAACAAGCAATTGCTTCTTTTCTTGTTTAATTAGTTGGACAATAAATTTACGAATAATTAGTTGGACAACTCTATTTATTTCGCGAACTCCTGCTTCACGAGTGTAGTACTTTATAATATCTATGATAGTCTGATCTTCAAAAATTACTTCTTTATCACTCAAATTATATCGCTTTAAACTTTCAGGAATTAAGTATTTCTTAGCAATCTGGAATTTTTCGATTTCAGTGTAAGAAGATAAGTGAATTATTTCCATCCGATCCAATAAAGGAAATGGTAAATCAAGAGTATTAGCAGTACAAATAAACATTACCTCTGACAAATTATAAGGGACATCTTCTCCCAAGTAATTGTCAATAAATTTTTTATTTTGGTTATTATCTAAAACTTCTAACAAGGCATAGGCTGGATCACCACGAAAATCTTGAGAAATTTTATCTAATTCATCAATCAAAAAAAGTGGATTAACCACCCCAACTTTTTTCATTGCTTGAATAATTCGCCCCGGCATAGCTCCAATGTAGGTTCGACGATGACCTTGAATTTCGGCAACATCACGGGTCCCTCCCACAGAAATACTCACAAACTCTCTCCCAATTGCTTCAGCAATGGAAGTGGCTAAAGAAGTCTTGCCAACACCAGGTGGTCCTACTAAACAAATAACTTGCCCTAACGACTTGTTAGACTTTTGTCGTGCTGCTAAATACTCAATAATTCTTTCCTTTATTTCTTGTAAACCATAGTGTTTCTCATCAAGTTTTTGGCGAGCAAAGCGTAAATCTTTAATCTCTTCGGTTTTCTTTCACCATGGCAAGTTCACCAACCAGTCAACATACTGTTTAATGATGCTAGCTTCACTGGAATTACTGGGCATTGACTCATAACGTTCCATCTCTTCTTGAACAACTTTTTTGACATAATTAGGGTAGGGATTTTTTTCTAGTCTCTCAAGATATTTCCCTATTTCAATACCTCCAGTATTTTTTTTATTTTTTAACCTTTTTTCAATAGCTTTTATCTTTTCTCGCAAATAATATTCTTCTTGTTGATTTTTAATTTCTTCACTAGTCGCTTTCTCGATGTCTTTCTCAATTCGTTGTCGATCAGGAAAACTAAGCAAAATTTCTAATCTTTCTCACAAGTCTAAAGAAGAGAGCACTTTTCATTTAGTTAACATATCAACCTCGCGACTATTTTGAGTAATAAAATCAATAAGGTTAGAAATATTTCCCCTCATCATTGTCATGTAGGGTAATTTTTCAATGGAACTTAATTTAGTTCTTTCTAGTATTTCCGGAAGATGACGAATAAATTTTTCAGTTAATTTATTTAATGAATTTTCCTCTATCTCCTTTTCAAGTAATATTTCTCATTCACCCTCCAAGAAATCATCTTTTTTTTTTAAATTAATTACTTTTACTCTCTCTAATCCTCGTAATTGGATTTGTTTCAGAGAATCAATAATTAACTGAGAATTTTCGACAAAATTATCCAAATTAATTTCCGCTAATGTTCCGATTATTGGATAATTTTTCAATTCGCTACTAATTTTCTCTTTATTGGGAACGACTAATAGCCTACCACCATGATTCTTTAAAGATCGTAAAACTATCTTTTTTCAGTAAGAACTATAAGAACTATTGTCTAGAGATAATTGGTTATCACATCTCGGAAACAAAAAAATGCTGTCCAAAGATAAAACAAGGAGCCTATTCATGATTTATAATTATTAATTTAATTTTTGTAATTGTTAATAAAATATTTAGCGTTTAAATAAAGAATATTAGAAAGATTTTTTAAATCCTTTGGCGCCCATGAAGAGAATCGAACTCCTGACCGAACGCTTAGAAGGCGTTTGCTCTAATCCACTGAGCTACATGGGCTTATTATTAATTTTAGCCCAATTTTGCGGTTTATTACTCTTAAAGAATTCTAAAATTTTCACAGCATTGGTAAAGGGAGATAATTGAGAAGTATCAATTATTAAATCATAATAATCAGAAGATAAATTATAAATTTTGTATTGCCAACGCGCTAACCCTAAAACTCGATCGCCACGCAAAAATTCCCGTTCCTCCATGGATTTTAAATCGCACTTTATTTCAACAAAACAAACATTACAATTATGTAAGTTATCCACATAATTTTTTAATCATTCTTCGTTTAAAATAACTTCATCGATAATAATATTATGACCATCATTAATTAATAATTTAATGACTTTGGGAATAGATTTGTTAACTTTCTTAAATACAAAACCGCTTCTGATCGAAGTAACTGGTTTGTTTTCCTCCTTCGGTTCGCTAATAAAAGAAAGCCCTTGTCAAGCTGTTTCGCCAAATCCAATATATTTGGCTGGCATAGCATCTATAAAGGTATCAATTCCCATAGTTAATCAAGGTTCAGAACTTAAATGTTGAATAACTTTGACAATTGAAGTCTTTCCGGAGGAAGAAAAGCCATTCAAAAAAATGATTTTGCCTTTCATTTAATTATTAATTTACTGAAAAAGTTCTAAAATTCTTTCGGCATTAGCGAAAGGTTCAGTCTGATTTGTATCTACTTGGAGTTCATATTTTCAGTCTAAATTTTTCATCTTAGTAAACTGAGAACGGTTTGTTCCTAATAATCGGTCACCTCGCAATATTTCTCTTTTTTCTAAAAGAGGCAATTCACAAAAAACATTAACAAAATAAACTTGGTGATTTGTCAAGAAATTTTTATAACTCTGCAAGTATTTTTGTTCTAAAATTACTTCTTCAATAACAAGGTTATGCCCATCATCGGTAGTTGTTGGAATATTTTCGGCATAGAACACAAAACTTTATCAGCATAAGAATTGATTTTAATCTCCGTAACAGGAAATCCTTCTTTGTCAATGCTAGGAACAAATTAAAAAGTTTGATTACTTTTTTTACCAAACCCTTTATATTTAGGCGATAAAGCATTTCAAAAGGTACTGATTCCAAAAACTAATCAAGGTTCAGAACTTAAATGTTGAATACCAGTTGTAATAGAACTTTTGCCTGCAGAAGAGCAACCATTTAAAAAGTTAATTTTTGCCATTAACTAAAGTGAGAATTTTATATATAAAGTACTGGCAATGAGCTATCTTCCCCGTAAAAGAGTATTTTCGCCACGAAAGTGCTTGACTTCTGTATTCGGAATGGGAACAGGTATTACCACTTTGTTATAGTCACCAGTACAGTAAAAATTATAGGAAAATGTTTAAACTAGTTTCACTCGATGAAAACTTACTTCTCTCAAAACCGAACGCAAATTAAAAAATACCAATAATAAGTCCTCGATAAATTAGTACAACTAAGCTTAATACATTACTGCACTTACACTCGCTGCCTATCAAACTCCTAGTCTAGAAGTTATCTTACTCCCTTGCGGGATGGGAAATCTTATCTTGAAGTTAGCTTCACACTTATATGCTTTCAGTGCTTATCTATTCCCGACATAGCTACCCAGCTGTGCCATTGACATGACAACTGGTGCACCATTGGTCAGTCCACTCCGGTC